GAACAGCACCTTCTCCACCCTTCTCTGAGCCCAGGATCAGTGGGTGGGGGAAGCAGAGCTAGGGCCTGGCAGCCTCTCAGGGCCTCCCAGGAGGGTGAACACCCAACTCCTGCCCCAAGAGCAGAACTGGGGGCGGGGGAGAGAACAGGAGGCCTCCTGGGGAAGGACTCAGCCTGCTTGGCCATGCAGGAGGAGGGAGGCTGGCCTGAGAAGGGTGTGGGACCAAAATAAGAACAGACACCCCCCCCGCTGTAGGGCCGAGGAATATTCCCGAGGGTCCAGCGTGTCAATGAAGTGCATTTAAAACTTCCGTCAGCCTTTTGTCCTTGGCTTTTCCTGCCAGGCTTCTGTAACTTCTGTGTTTTGACCTTATTTTATTTATTTATTAATACGGAGTCTCACTCTGTCGCCCAGGCTGGAGTGCAGCGGTATAGTCTCAGCTCACTGCAACCTCTGCCTCCCGGGTTCAAGCAATTCTCCATCCCAAACTACATTTATGTTTTATAGGAAGCTTTATGTCACTAGCATAAATGGAAAATGGTGTCCCTCCCCTAAGTAGAATGTGCTCTAGAAGGAAATGTACTGCAAATGTTCAAACCATAGGCCAAAATTCTAGCTAGAGACTCACGCTTGGTAGAAGCTCTGCTTCCCAGGCCTGCAGCTGTTTGTCAGAAAGAGGGATGGGGAAGCGCTAGGCAGGAGCTAAAAACCATGGCACCAAGAAGAGAGGGGAGAGTTAAAAATGAAGTCACTCTCCCCACCATGGTGTTCTCAGCCAGTGAGAGCTGCCCAGCCTATACCTCTGTGAGGCAGGCAGGACGGGGTCACTGCTCCCACTTTACAGATGAGGAAAACTGAGGTTCGGAGAAACATCTAGCATAGCCACGTTTCTCGGGGGTCTCCTAGTTCTCCACCTTCTGGGAGCAGGCGAGGGGCCACCTCAGTCCTCCACAGACCCGATCCCAAAGCCGGTCGCAGCACTGGCAGCACAGTGGGACACCCTTCATAAACCGGGGTTGAGATGTGGTTCTGTGCCCAAGGCGCGGGCCCCTGAGGGCCTCCAGTCTCTGGAAATAGGCCCCACGGCTGCACTGGGGGGATAAGCCAGGCTATTTTCATCACTTCCTTCCACCCGCTTCCGCAGGGGCCACCTCAGCTGCATCCCATAGAGTTGCCACCCAGACCTCAGCCAGGACCTTTCAGGCCACGCGGGAGTGCCCAACCGAAGGCTTCACAGGTAAGTGACCCTCTGTATTACCCAACATGGCCTCCCACAGGGAGAGAGGAGGTCAACTCCTGTCCCCTTAACAAGACAGGGTTGGGTGGGACATTCTCTCTGAGACATCATCTCCTTGGCTGAGTCAAGATTAATGAGTTGATTTGACACTTATTCACTGGAAACCTGCTGTGGGTCGGGGGAGCTCTGCTTGTGGAGGGGAAACACCTGTGGGGAAGAACCAAACAGAGGGCCACGGTTCCTGAGACCTGAGTGTGAGTCTGGCCTCTGACACCACACCAGGTAGCCCTGGGCACGTTGCTTTCCCTCTGTGGGCCTCAGTTTCCCCAAGTCAGTGTTAGCCCAGATGAGTGACTTTCCAAATGGGGCCCCACTGGGTTCCCCTCCCTGCTCCAGTCAGTGTCCCCATCCCACTATCTTCTGCATCTGGGAATCAGGTAACAGCTCACTTAGCTGGCGGGGGCGCAGCCTGGAGGCCCCTCCAAGGCTCTTTCCTAGTCTCTGGGGTCTGTGGTCCTGGGCTGGGACTCATTTAGCAGCCATCTGCTCCTCTCATCCCCAAGCAGGGGATGGGGTCTCTGCTAGGGGCCAGGAAGTCCCTTCCCCTTCCCAAAAACAAATTTACCCCAATCCACAGCTGCCCTCACCACCCTGCCTTCAACGGTGTCCAGAGAGGGTCAGCCAGGCCTGGGTTGGGCACGCTGTACCTTCCCCAGTCACCAGCCTGTTTCCCGGAGGAGAAGGCTGAGACCCGAGAAGGGAGGTGAGTGCGCCATGTCAGGCTCCACTGCATCCCCGGTGCTTGCTGTCCCTGAGGATGGGTCAGCTGCCAGGCCCTCCCTCACAGCTCCTCTCTCTGCAGCCCAGCCTGTCCCATGCCTGCCTGGGAAGCCCTGTTCCTGCTCTGGGCCACAGCAGAGGCCACCAAGGACTGCCCTATCCCATGCACCTGCCGCGCCCTGGAAACCATGGGGCTGTGGGTGGACTGCAGGGGCCGCGGGCTCACGGCCCTGCCTGCCCTGCCAGCCCGCACCCGCCACCTCCTGCTGGCCAACAACAGCCTTCAGTCCGTGCCCCCGGGAGCCTTCGACCACCTGCCCCAGCTGCAGACCCTCGATGTGACGCAGAACCCGTGGCACTGTGACTGCAGCCTCACCTATCTGCGCCTCTGGCTGGAGGACCGCACACCCGAGGCCCTGCTGCAGGTCCGCTGCGCCAGCCCCAGCCTCGCTGCCCATGGCCCGCTGGGCCAGCTGACAGGCTACCAGCTGGGCAGCTGCGGCTGGCAGCTGCAGGCGTCCTGGGTGCGCTCAGGGGTCTTGTGGGACGTGGCACTGGTCGCCGTGGCTGCGCTGGGCCTGGCTCTTCTGGCTGGCCTGCTGTGTGCCACCACTGAGGCCCTGGATTGAGCCAGGCCCCCAGAACCCCTGGTCCCAGGCCAGGGGGCCAGTCCCTGAGGCAGGTCCCCAGACTCCACCAAGCCTGGTCAGCCCAAACCACTAGAAGCCCAAAATAAACTGGCAGCTTGGCTGTTTTATATAAGCTCAGAGATCTTTTTTCCCCTTTCGGCACTTGAGTCTGTCTCCTTCTGAAAACCTGGCTCCATTTTGTCATAACCAGACATCAATTGGGGCTTCCCTGTTCCTCAAGTTGTTAGTAAAATGGACTGCCCACCTCCCCCACCTTTCACCCTTAATTACACAGTCTCTGGACATCCCAAGCCAGGACCTGGGACTCTGGGTCTCATGGCCTCAGCCGTCTGCTTCTGGTGTGGGTCACCCTGGACAGCCCAGGCCAGCTTCACACTGGGGCCCAGCCCTCACCACATTCCCCAGAAATCTCGCTCTCCCAGCACAGTAGTGAGCAGAGCAGGGTGTCCCAAAGGCCCCTGGAGGGAGGAGAGGAGGGTTTCCGTCCCCATGACAGAAATGGCTTGGCGGGCCCTTTTCTGTCGCGGCCTCCAACCACTCCACCTTGGCCATGAGGCTGCTGGGGCTCACCTGGCCCCGTCCTCTCCTCTGTCTTCTCTCTCCTTTTTCTCCTGTCTACTCTTCTCCAGAAACAAGACAAATCCCTCTCTCATGGAAGACAAGCTCCTACAGGGTTAACATCTGTACCTCCAAACACTGGGGCCCCCTCCTACCCCAAGCCCTGATCACCAAATCCTTCAAACAAGGCAGCTCCGCCCCTCTGAGGAATCCTGGTGCCACATGTTAAAATCATAAACTTTTCTCCACCACATGAGGTAACATTTATGGGCCTGTTACTGGCCAAGCCAAATCCAAATATAATTACACTGGGACCCCACCCCTCGAGGGGCTGCATGTATATGTAACCAGCAGACCAGCTTGGGTGGGCCTGTGGGTCGGAAGTTTCCACCAGGTAGCCCAGGCGGGTTTAGAGTGCAGCTGGAGGGCACTGACTGACAGAGCTCAGGTCGGAGCAGGAACCCCAAACTCGGAGGTGGGGGCCAGTAAGGAGTGGTAGGGAATGTGGCAAACCAGGGAGCCTGTGTTCCATCCAGAGGGGCTCAGCCGACTGCCACCATGTAGAGATGGGGGCCCAGGTGCCAGGTGTCCCATTCTTCCAGAGAGGTCAGAAAGCTAGATTGTTATGTGAACCCTCTGAAGTCTTTAAGTGTTGGCAACTAAATAAGAAATTTTAGGAAATACATAGGCAGGACAAATAGAACATCAGCCAACCGCATCAGGCTGAGCCTGCAATTTCCGCTGTGACACGGCTGCCTAAGAGCAATCGTAAAAGCTGGCATCTGCTCCTTGGGCACCAGGTGTGTCCAAGGCTTGCGTGCAGCACCTCCCATGGGTCACTCTCGGGTTTCCCTGTGGGAGCCTGTAGGGAGGGAGCTGCTCTGTGACCTGCTGCTTGGAGGAGGGTGCAGGCCCAGGTTACCTGCTTATTCTCTTTCACACGTGCTCCCTCGAAAGCTTCCAGGCCTGTGGGGGACCCTGGAACTAAGGCCCTTCAGTCCCCAACCCCCGACACGGGGTGCTACACAGATCCCCCTCCTTTGGTGCCGTCCTGAGGCCGTGTGTACCCACCAGCGATTCCAGGCCCCTGTCCTGCTCGGTCCAGCAGGAAGCTGCAGGCTGCCTGGGCAACAAGTCCTTTGTGGGTGGGGAGGGTGGAGGCCTCTGAGGCCAGGCAGGGACTTCCCAAGGTGGATGGCTGGCCACACAAGCACCCTAGGAGACGGTGACTCCCTGGAAGGTCACTGTCTGCCTTCGCCAGTTTTTGCTGCTTCAACCAAATGCCAGTCTGGGTACTGTAAAAACAGTGAACATTTATTTCTCATGGTTCTGAAGCCTGGGAAGTCCAAGATCCAGGCACTGGCATTTGGTGTCTGCTGAGGGCCCTCTTCCTCTCATTGGCGAAGGGGCGAAAGGGATAGAAGAGGCAGCCAGCTCCCTCACACACATCTTTTTTTTCTTTTTTTCTTTCTTTCTTTTTTTTTTTTTTTTTTGAGATACGGTCCTGCTCTGTCGCCCAGGCTGGAGTGCAGTGGTGCAATCATGGCTCACTGCAGCCTCCCGCCTCAACTTCCCCAGTAGTGGGACTACAGGCATGCGCCACCACGCCCAACTAATTTTTGGTAGAGATGGGGTTTCACCTTGTTACCCAAACTAGTCTCAAACTCCTGGGCTCAAGCAATCCTCCTGCCTTGGCCTCCCAAAGCCACCACACCTGGCCAACCTCAAGCACTTTTATAAGGGCCCTAATTACCTTCCAAAGGCCCCACCTCCTAATGCAAGCACACTAGGGATAAAATTTCAGCATTCAACATCACCAGCCCCAGCCTCAGTGCCTCCCCCACCACAGGCATGGTTGGCCAAACATACCCCTGCACGGGTAACTTCACCAGCAATTCACACGATCTCCTCTCCCTCAGAGCCGTCCACATCACCTCCCCTGACACCAGCCTCACACTGACCTCCTGCAGTGGTGCGATCATGGCTCACCACAACCTTGGCCTCCTGGACTCTAGCGATCCTCCCACCTCTGCCTCCCGAGTAGCTGGGACCACAGGCATGCACCTCCACACCAGCTAATTTTTATAGTTTTTGTAGGGAAGGGGTTTGGCCATGTTGCCCAGGCTGATCTCGAACTCCTGGACTCAAGGAACTGATTAGCCAGCTTCGGCCTCCCAAAGTGCTGGGACTACTAGGCGTGAGCAGCCACCGCACCCAGCCTGTGTAGGGTAATTTTACCAGCAGCTAGAACCACTGACCCACCCATCCGGCCGCTCTTCCTGATCACAGGCCTCTCTGCTGGCCACCTGCTCACTGGGAGGCCTCCTTCTCTGCTGTAACATGGAATCCACTCTCAACATACAAGACAACATGCTACGGTGTCTGTTATGGAAGTGGAGCTCAAGCCTGCCGGCTAATAGTGCAGCACTGGGCACAAGTGGCAAGTCTATCTTTCTAGAAACTGTCCTCCCCAGCTTCTGAAACTGTCCTTCCCCTCTTCTGCATGCTCCTGGCCAGCGGGAGAGCAGAGAACAAAGAGGACTGCATGACGCCCATGGCCAGCCCTGAGGGGCACAGATCATGCTTGCACATTTGCTGTCCAGATCCCAGTCAGTGGCTGTGATGGTTAATATTGAGTGTCAACTTGATTGGACTGAAGGATATAAAGTATTGTTCCTGGGTGTGTCTGTGAGGGTGTTGCCAAAGGAGATTAACATTTGAGTCAGAGGACTGGGAGAAGCAGACCCATCCTCAGTCTAGGTAGGCACCATCTAATCTGCTGCCAGCTCGGCTAGAATAAAAGCAGACAGAAGAGTATGGAAGGACTATACTTGCTGAGTCTTCTGGCTTTCATCTTTCTTCCCTGCTGGATGCTTCCTGCCCTCAAATGTCAGACTCCAAGTTCTTCAGCTTTTGGACTCTTGGACCTATGCCAGTGGCTGGCCAGGGGTCTTGGGCCTCTGGCCACAGACTGAAGGCTGCACTGTTGGCTTCCCTATTTTTGAGGTTTTGGGACTTGGACTGGCTAGAAATGGAGGTGAGCGGAAGGTAGAAGTTCTGTCCCAGCTCAGCTCAGCCCATGCTGGGAGGGTGACTGGTGGCATGGAAAGCCCGCTGGGACTCAGCAGCACCTGGGCCTCTAATTGCCAGCTTTCTAACCGGCTCTGGGGCTGCAGTTCTCATTTTCAATCCTTCTGGATAATAAGCAGTGAGGACCTCTACTCCAGGTTTTGAGAAATGTCTCAAAATCTTGGGAAAGTGTTACTTTCTTGGATGGATCTCTAAAACAGTAGATCAAATTCAGACAGGAAAGCTAGACTATATTACTTCCTTCATTAATTTTTTTTTTTTGAGATGGAGTCTCACTCTGTCCCCCAGGCTGGAGTGCAGTGGCACGATCTCTGCTCACTGCAACCTCTGCCTCCCAGGTTCACGCCATTCTCCAGCCTCAGCCTCCCGAGTAGCTGGGACTATAGGCACCCGCCACCATGCCTGGCTAATTTTTTTTTTTTTTTTTTTTGAGACGGAATCTCGCTCTGTCGCCTAGGCTGGAGTGCAGTGGCTGGATCTCAGCTCACTGCAAGCTCCGCCTCCCAGGTTCATGCCATTCTCCTGCCTCAGCCTCCCGAGTAGCTGCCACCTCGCCCGGCTAGTTTTTTGTATTTTTTAGTAGAGACGGGGTTTCACCGTGTTAGCCAGGATGGTCTCGATCTCCTGACCTCGTGATCCGCCTGTCTCGGCCTCCCAAAGTGCTGGGATTACAGGCGTGAGCCACCGTACCCGGCCACCTGGCTAATTTTTTGTATTTTTAGTAGAGACAGGGTTTCACCATGTTAGCCAGGATGGTCTCGATCGTCTGACCTCGTGATCCACCCGCCTCGGCCTCCCAAAGTGCTGGGATTACAGGCGTGAGGCTCCACACCCGGCCACTTCCTTCATTAATATTTAATTGCAAGGCTGGACACAGTGGCTCACGCCTGTAATCCCAGCATTTTGGGAGGCAAAGGCAGGTGGATCACCTGAAGTCAGGAGTTCGAGACCAACCTGGCCAACCTGGCGAAACCTCTCTCTATTAAAAATACAAAAATTAGCCAGCATGGTGGCACACACCTGTAATCTCAGCTACTTGGGAGGCTGAGGTAGGAGAATCGCTTGAACCCGGGAGGTGGAGGTTGCAGTGAGCCAAGATCACGCCATTGCACTGTCGCCCAGGCCGATCTTGGCTCACTGCAGTCTCCTCCTCCCGGGTTCAAGCGATTCTTCTGCCCCCTGAGTAGCTGGGATTACAGGCATGCGCCACCTTGCCCAGCTAATTTTTGGATGTTTTTAGTAGAGACAGAGTTTTGCCATATTGGCGAGGCTGGTCTTGAACTCCTGACCTCAAGTGATCCACCTGCCTGTCTCCCAAAGTGCTGGGATTACAGGCGTGAGCTACCATGCCCGGCCCATGCCATGTATGTTTTACCACAATACATAGCAATTATTTTTTTTTTAAGTAATAGAGCAATCTCTGTAAGTGCCTTTAGCCAAAGACAATCACTATTAACACAACGTTAGTC